GGGGGCCATAAAAAAAAAAGATATATAAAATGATCTCGCGGGCTGATGTGGCCCGCGGGCCTTGAGTTTGACACATGTGATCTACAGTGAACAGCACACAAGCTGCTCTGTAAGGTAGGCATGTTGTCTTATATAAAACCAGGATCGAATGTTGTTTGGCCAGTCACTGAATAGTCACAGACACAAGTGGAAGTGGTTTTAAATAATTATTTTGTGCTGCTTAGTTTCTCACACAAGTAACTTTTGTGTTTGCTTCATCTATTCTGTAAATTCCCAATTTCCTCTCATTTTATGGCAAACATGGATCACAGTTTTATTATGAAAAATATATTTGATAAATTAACAATTAATAGATCATTGATGGTAACCGTTGCTGACTATCACTTAAGAAAAATTCATGAAATTTGCTTCTCTAAAGGTGACAGTCAGCGGATGGTAGGTGACAGTAGGTGGCAGTTTCATCTCTCAGGGTATTGGTTGGTTTGTGATTCACAAATTTAAGCAGATTATGTTGCAAAAGAACTTATATGGTCATGTCACTCTAATCTGAAATTCCAGCAGAGGGCAGTCACAGCAAATCACTGAAGACTGTCAAACACAGTCAATTAACAGTTTAATCAAAACATTGTTCAGCTGTAGTTTGAGGCTACATGTTGCTATTAGTTTGACAGTTAATTTCATAGTACAAAACGCATACCTATTGCTAATTGGCATTTAGCTTCACAGCATTTATTTATTTAGCTGCCTTGGTAATTGCTGTTGAAGTAAGGAAGTGCAGTCTGAATATGGTATTTCATGGTGTTTCTGTTATTTAGTCCATTTCCTTTGTGGGTGTAAAAGTAAGCCTCCCAAAAGTCACTTTTTAAATCAACATGTCAAATTTAAATTTGGAAAACAACTTTATTCCTTTTTCTTTTAACGCTGATCCATACACCCTCTTAAAAGGACAAAGGGAAGTTCTGCCTGACATATGAAGCCTCAATGACGCGTTTGTTCCGTGAGGGCCGAACAGAAACTGTGCGCTCCTGCACCATGGAGAGCTGTACCTTTGTTCGATCCATGATCAGAGATGAGACGGTAAGACTACACAGCAGCAATGCACTGCATATTTAATTACTGCTTTTAGTCACTGATTAACTTATGCTCTTCCAATGTCATGTTTCACTTTCTTGTCCTTTCAGAGAGAAGAGCGCCTCAAGTTGCTCAAACTGGCAGCAGAGAAGCACCAAAACATGTATCGCCTGGCTATGACAGGAAAGGGCATCGATCGCCACCTTTTCTGTCTCTACGTGGTCTCCAAATACCTGGGAGAAGACTCCGCCTTCCTCAAGGAGGTATGAGGTGGTGTTGTGAGTTTTTTGTTGTTGTTGTTGTTGTGTTTTGTTTTGTTTTGTTTTGTTTTTTTAACTCTCACTGTGGTTCTTGTAAATTACCTCCACTAATGTCATATTCTCTATGTGAATCAGCACAGGCTTGGACCTGGATCTGCATCTCAGCCTTGGTTTTGCCTAAAGGGTCCTTGTTTTTAGCAAATCAAGCATAAAATAATAGATAATTAAAGGATTCTACTTTTTTCTGGTAGAAGGAAATTTACTGTGCCTGTAGGCTTCTAGTATAATACGGTGTTAACTTATAAGAATATGAAGTAATCAGACCATACCATACAACTCTGGCAAAAATAAAACATTTCTGCGCCTTCCACATGTGACATGGAATATTTAAGTCTAACACATGACACAAGTCACTTCTCCTCTTTCCTCAATAACGCTGTGCAAAAAATGGCGAGAGAAAATTGTTACTTGGGCTGCATGAGTTAGTTTTGTCCATTGAATTAAATGTTGGTTACATTTATGTTTAGGTCCTGTCTGAGCCATGGAGGCTTTCCACCAGTCAGACCCCCATGCAGCAGCTCGAGCTGTTTGACCTGGTCAGACACCCAGAATATGCTTCCTCCGGAGGTGGATTTGGTCCGGTGAGTTATTTATCAGTTTTGACAGTAATTTTTAGAGACAGAGTGAAGACAGTTGCGCAGTCTCCTGCAGCTGAAAAACATTAACTCTTGTCGAGATAGCATGTCACTCTGCATGTGTTTGTCTTAGGGAGTGAAATACCTGTATGCTCTTTGTCAGAAAGTCAAATGTTTTGGAAACTCTCTTTCTTTCCTCTTGTGTACACAAGGTGGCTGATGATGGTTATGGTGTCTCTTACATCATTGTTGGTGAGAACCTCATCAACTTCCACATCTCCAGCAAATTCTCAAGCCCAGAAACCGTAAGTTCACCAGTTTTCTATAGTAAAATAACGATTTTTATTATTTTATGTCCATTGTTTTACAGAAAGACTTGATTTTCCTCATTTCAGGACTCTCATCGTTTTGCCGCCAACATCAGACGGGCAATGACGGACATGCTGGATCTTTTCCAGCTCAACAAGCAAGCCAAGTGATTGCCCTTTTCATCAGTGCACAAACATCAGAAGTCGTTTTTAGCAAAACGTATATTCCTCTTGAAGCTTGTACAGAATCAGATGTTGTATTTTGGAGTTATTTTTTAAGTTAATCAATGTTACACAAATAAGGGACATTGAGAGGCATTTGGAAACATTGCTAGTAAATATATTGTGAGTTTATGTGTACTGTATGTACAGTATAGACAAGTTGAGATTCTGGTGGTGGTGGGTACAGGTAGTGTACAGGGCAAAGTTTTTATTTCCAGAACTGTACACAAACATTTATTGGTGGAGTAAATGTTTAAAAAAGCCAGAAAGGGAGGTGAAAATACAAGTCTGTATTACCACAGTACGACACTTGGCTAAAACTTAGAAGCTGATATGGTACAACACTTGTACTAGTTTTTGTCCTAGTTTCATGCTTGTGTGTGTTTGTTGCTTTCATACTCAGGTTTTACTGACTTGGCCAAGTATTGTATGGTGCTGGCTGTAACATTGGAAGAATAGCGCTTATGTTGGTGTGTACATGTGGAGCAGTAGAAGAAGCTGAGATGCAGTGCAGTGGCATGACCTCCATGAGCTTGTGGCAAGTAGAATATTATGTGTGCTGTTGAAGTGAGGCATTGGCAGGACCGGGTGCGAGTCTGGGTTGAATTGTATTTTTTTTAAAAGATTGGGTTAACTGTACTTTACCTAAATTGTGCACTCCATGACTGGCCCTTTTGTTAAAACTAACAAATTTCTAACTACCTTGTTAGCCTTTTGTCAGATCAAGATACATTTTTAATGTTTATGAGTAAACTGGCAAGTTGGCACTTACAGCATAAAAGTCCTCAAAATAGTCTGGGTTATTGATCTTACGTGGCTTCCAGACTTCCTGATAGTTGGGGTTGTCCACTAGAGGGGCTTTCCACTTGCCCTTGTACTGTGGGTTATTGATCATGGGACGTTTCCACACAGTCATTGCGAAGTACGGAATTGTTGCGGTCATTTCAGTTCAGTAGGAAATCATTGTTTCTCTTGGAGTGACTCGTAGCAAGTGCAGAGGGGCTGTTGTGTGTAGGAATACATTTGTGTTATGTATATGTTGCCAATTCATTTTATTTATTTTTTTCCTAGTTTGAACCTTTTTGTTCTCAACAACAAACTGTTTGAGATGTACACATTTACCTGCTGAATGTGGCGAAATGACACGCATTAAGTTAAAGCTTTGCTGATTTAAGTGAAATGGACAGAATACTTTGTTTTTTTGACATCACAATTTTGTTATCACAGACTTTAACAGTATACTCTAGTTGTATGACTTTTTATCTCAGTAGACCTCATGTTTACACTACTGCATGGGTTTTGAAGATATAAGCTGTACATGTTTGCCTTCAAATTAAAGATGTGCAAAAAAGGCACACAGCTGATACACCAAAACATGTTTAACAGTAAACTGAATGTCAGACAGCTGTTTCACCTCTGTCTTGTTGTTCTTACAATGTGATGTTTCTAATAATCTTTATAAGTTCATTTGGGGAAGAAAAGCACTCTGTTCACTATAAGGCCAAACACTGTGATGGATACATCACAATTTTACTACCCTGCTAGCAGCTCCATGAGGCTGTAGGCCATGCTTATTGCTGCATGTTCATGTTCAGGTCAGCTGATTTGTTTGCCATATTCACAGTTTTAGCCTGTTGTTTTTTTGCCAATTACAACTAATTGCACAGTTGAGGTATTGGCAAGTATTTGCTTGTAAACCAAAGTATTGGACATTTTGAAGTTTTGTCCTAAAGATGCTAGATTATATGCTAAGGGATCACCAAGGTTATTACAGCTGATCCTCAGAGCAACATAAATGCTGTATGCCTGCCAAGTGTTATGGTCATCCATAGTTGTTGAGGAATTTCACTAAAAACCAAAAATATCAACTTTTCGGAGCCCTAGAAGGAAAGTTAGGTGATGACCACAGACCTTAGGAATTGCTTGTCCCCTGTTGTGTCTATGTACCAGTTTTGCTAATCAAGCTAATAATGTTGAGATATTTCAGTCTGAAACAAAATTGTGAATCCATTGAGTAACAAACATTGCCATCCCTAGAGCCATGCCTCTAGCATGACCAAAATTGTCCATTTCCCCATTAATTATGAGGATTTAGCAGGTGTTTAGCTTGATGGTGTTATGACCCAAGTCCTATAACCATCAGCTTATTCATTCTAACGTCCTGACGCAGAAAGCATACACTTTACACCATGATGATGTTTTAACCCTTTTTCACACTTTATTTTGGGTGCTCCAACCTAATCTGTATCAGGAGCAGACTTATGGTTTATCCGTTTTTTTTAAGTTCTGACCATTTTAAACCTGAAACATGTCTGATGTGAAAACAACATCTTTCCTTCCTTAGCACAGTGTTTACTTAATCAAAGGGGAGCTGTAGCCTGCCATCTCGCCAGGTGGTTGGACTCAAATGGACAGCACTGAAGAGTCAGTTCTGTCTCTGAGGATATTAATAAGTCCCTCCACTGGGCCTGCCTGGGGTGTATTCAGGGATGAACTTGAATTAAATGCTAGAGGTTTAAAGCCACCACAAGGTGACAGATTTCCAAGGAGGGTGTGGACAGGAAGTCATTACATGTAACAGTTTCCCTCTATCCCCTGTCCGCCACATGTGCACTTCTCTCCCTGCCTCACCTCCATAATGTTACGCCCACCCTGATGCCACCCTGCCCTGGACTTCCGATAGCAGGCTAACATTTCAAGATTGAATTCTTGAGGTCTGCTTACTCATCTACTCTGGGAAACTGCAATTTGACCACTTGAGAGAAAGGATTACTTTCAGGGCCAGCCCTTTGCTTATCTGTGCTTTTCATGTCTCCATACCCTGTCTTTCTGTGCATTAAGGAAGATTGTCAATTTATACAAAGGACACATTCTTTATCTTTATCTTCTGTATCTCATTTGAGACATGAGACATGCAGGCAAACAATGCTAAATCCGTACAGCAAAATCAACAGGCCTGATGTGGTTGGCTTGTGGGCAACAAGCCTTTAAATTATGCACCTAATTGGCAGGCTGGAAAATCCATTCACTCAAGAGCAGACACTGAAACCTTAAACCTTGACTTGCACTTTCTAAAAGTAGACTTTGGGAGAGATCTGCAGCCTCTGCTTGTCACCAGTTTAATTCATGTGCCACTTGCTTCGCAACAACCTCAAAGAAACGAGGAAAGCCAATGTTGTCTATCCTGTTTTATAAGCTATTCGTTCCCACAGGAGCACGGATGTTCCCATTAGGTATGGTGGTAATCACTGATGGCTGTTAACAGTGGAGAATAACATTGTACTTACTGCAGCTACTGTATGTATGTAGACTATTTGTGTCATTCCTGATTTTGGTTTTGGCAGGACAGTTTGTTTTTCCAGAGCTGCTGGACAACTTGCGTAAGGTTTTATTATTCCCCAGACTAATTGGGTTGAATGTTACATGTTGATTCAGTAAATGAGGGGAAAAAATTCGACCACCGTGTCCTGCTGCTAAATGTTAGTTTAAAGGTGGATGCCTTTGACCACACGATTTCTGGAAGGAATTGTGTTATTATGCTATGATTGCACATTAAAGCGGACCTAACAGAGGGATTTTCAAGATAAAGGACCAATATTAAACATATAGCAAACTATTTACTTTTCACAGATTAGGAGAAAATTAAATTGAGTTCTGGGGAAAAAAAACAATGTAAACTTTGTCAGCCCCTATTAACTGAAAACATGAATCATATAGAGTGATGAAGGTCAATTAAGGTTTTGCTCTCAGAATTACCCAGCCCACTCTATCCTCTGCTGTGCTCTGAAGCAGGGTCTTCTCCAGCCTCTAGTACTGTAACTTCATCACTTCACAAACCATGGAGCTAAACTAGTATGTCTCAGGATTTTTATCTGGCTGAGAACTGTGCCCAGATTTTTTTAAAAGTGCCATATGAATCTAAGTGATTAAGATAAGGGTGTAAATGGAGAGGGTGAGCTCGGTTGTTGGCATGGAAGGACGACACATGTCTGTGGCCAGCTGCACCTGTCTAACTGAACTGAAGGAGCAGGCCCTACACGGGGCCTCAAGGTGGAGCTCAGCCAAGGGGCAGCAGAAGAGGATGGTAAGCAAGAGAAGCTCAGTGCAGGTTGGGCTGAAAGTGGTTCCCCAAGGAATCTCTTCCACTGCGTGCTACAGGCATAAATAACTTTTATTAGGTTTAAAATTAATTAGTGGTGATGTTAGTCGTCAGCATACTGAAAGATACAGAGGCAGACTTTCTAACATGAGGGTAAGGAAAAGCAGGAAGTGTTAATAAGTGCCTTGCACACACATCCTGTATGTGTGCATTGACACAGAAGTATGAATGTGCTAGCAGAGAGACAAGAAGGCAAACAAATCATGCTAAATACATGCTGAATTTTTTCATATAATTTTTCATATTTGCATAAATCTGTTTGGGTGCCTCTTGCTGCTGGAGCCTTTCCCAGAATCCTTTAGTGACGGTCTGGCAGATCACTAGTCCATTGCATGGACAGTCAAACATATAGGCGTATTTTAAATGATTATGCAAAATCAAAGATTGTGGAAACAGAGTTAAGAGTGGAACTTTGCCATCTCCACTTAAGGGTGGCCTCCCCACCACATGACCGTTTGCCAATATATAAAATAAAGCTGTCATTAAAAAAAAAGCATGAACTCAATAAATTGAGGATGTGAAGTAAGAAAATGTAAACTTTATTGCAGTTTTGTCATTCAAAGTTCTCTGATTTACAGAAAAGAAAAACACTTATAATGGCACAGTCATCGTAATATATACATTGCTGATACTGCAATAATCCAGACGTGTATTGTCCACATTTAAGAGTGGCATATTAAGGCATATGGCATTAGATTTGCTTAGTCTC